CGTTTCTAAAAACTTTCTTCCCACGCGCGAAATTTATGGGTGGGGTCCCCCCCCCCCCAAACTCCCCCACCCGGGATCAGGGGGGGGGGGGAATTCTGGGAGTTGAAGTCCACCCATCTTAAGTTGCCAAGGTTGAGAAACAATTTTAGAGACAGGAAAAGGGGCCTTAAACCAAAATATTGCCGCATGCTCAATTGTACCACTTAGGAAAACAATTCAAACCCACACCCGATTGTGGGACAGACACCACAGGAGTCTCCTTCTGTGTAAAAGCAATATTTATTAGCTAATGCTTGTTACAGCCTTAAAATAAAATTGGAGGGAGTCAAAATATATTTCAGCTTCAACTGCAATAAAAAGATGGGTTTGGGGGGTATGAAAAGTCTCAGTATTTGCTTTGGAAAGAAAGCCCAAATTTCAAACCTATGCAATAAAAGGGCGTACAAACCAATTACTTGGAAAGGCGCAACCAAGCTACCAACTCAACGGAGAACAGGCTGTTAGGTACTAGTGGGGGGAAAATTCGGACACAGTGCAGAGGAGGTGCGAAGCTGCACAACTACTTGTGGGCGTCACAAGGAGAGAAAAAAGTGAGGTATTACAGCCTGTCCCTCCCACCCCCACCCCCCTGCAAACCGACAGAACTAACCTGAGCGTGGAACTCCCACAATGTCGCAGGACTGAACAGATTTTCAAACTATCCCCCAGCCCAGACAGCCAGGCTACCATAAAACAGGTTCAAAGAAGCCATTTTGGTTTTTTTATTTGGGTAGCAATTTTTCTTTTTTAAGACACAGGTGTGATGCTTCGAATGAGGACATAACACCCCTGGCTGGAGCTGAGACAAGCAACCTCCCCCCCAGGGAACATTTCTGCAACTGCCTCCCTTCGTTGGGTGCACGAGGCCTGACAGCCAGTCGACCTGAGGGCCCCCAATCCCCCATGGGTATGGGGAGAGAAATCAAGTGTTTTTTTTAAAAAAAAAGACTACAGCTGAGGGACTCCAGAGCCAAGGAAGTACACAAATGATAGTTGTCTCTCCCCTACACATAACTTGGAGGCCTCCTGAGTTCGCAAGACCTTTCAGACACCTCTTAGCCTTTCAAGCCTCAAGTCCACTTGAAGGACTGCCCGGGCAGTAAAGGTGGTTGGATCAAAGCTTCCTCTTGGCTGCCAGTGGTCACTTTGCTCCTAGCTCTCCTCGGGCCACCGCTAAGGGCCACCTCCATCATTCCCTCCACTGGGTACCCTCCCAGCGTGCTGGGCTCCAATGCCCATCACCCCCGGCAGCACAGTGAAAAAAGTCTGAGGACCGAGTTAAAAAGGTTGACCTCTCCTGCCAAGCAGGGTGGGGAGTGTCAAAGGAAAGGACACCACCCTTGGCAAAGTTCAGCCTTGCAGCAAGTCAACAAATTCCAGCACTCATGCGCAGACTGGATTGTCACCCCCAACCCGGTGAGGGAGCAGACCCCTCTCACTTTGGCAGTCCCGAGTCTCTGCAAAGACCAGGAGACTCAGGCAGAGGAACGGCAGACGTGTTTGAAGAGGACATGGAAGGATGCGTGAAGGGGGATGTTGGAGGTAGGTTTCAAAGACAATCTTAGAAAAATCAGGCACATTACAAGTATAATATTACACAAAAACCCTATTCCAGAGAAATGCCTCTCCTTCTGCAATCTGGATATTGCAGAAAACTTTGCCACTGGGGGGAGGGAAGGGGTGGGGAGAAAAAGGAGTGGGAATTCAGAAAGGTTTTTTTGTTTTTTTAAAGCATCACTTATTAGCAAGACCAAATCCTCAAATTGGGGGCAAAGGGGAGGAGGATAACCCAAGTGGAAAAAGTCGGCTTTGTTCCTGCAAGAGAAATTCAGCTCCCCGGGTCCCACTGCGCTCTCATAAGCAAGCAGCAAAGTTGAAGAAAAAGCATATGGAAGAGACCTAGCTCACTCTATGCCTTGTCTCTGGCGTGTGCACACACGAGGGGTGGAGACCCAAGGAAGTTTCAGACAAAGAAAAGCAGCTTGTTTCAGCAAGCCCAGGCTTGGAGCCAGCATCCACCAAGAAGATGCGTAACCCTGAGCTCCTTTTCCAAAAACCATGAACCACCCTTGAGGTCCCCCATACAACTTGCACAGCCCTGCAGACTCCCCAGATGGAGGAAGTGATTAATGCCAATGTGTTTTTTTTAAAAAAGCCTGATATAATTTTAAATGCTCACAGACACACACACACACAAATGGACTTCCAAAGGAAGAAAGGATTCTGAAATCCACCACCACGTGGATCTAGGCATATGGAATTGTTACCCAGGCCCATATTTTGGGAACTTGGTAAATGTAGGTTTACCTGCATTTAATGTCTAAATGGACACACTCTCTTCACCTGATCTAAAGCAAGCAGGATTTTCTCAACTCACCCAAGACCCAGCCCTGATTTAGCAAATCTGAGATGATCGTTTTGAATGAGTTAAACCGAGTTACTTTGCTATCGCGCTTGCCTGTGCCAAGCCTTGGTTGCTGGATGACGCCCATGACTGGGTTTCCATGCCACCCGAGAATCTCTCAGAGGCCGCTGTAGTGCCGCTTTTGAACCATGTTAGGGACAAAAAGACTTTCTTATGGGGATGAAGGAACAGGTGGAGTTTAGAAGCTTCGGGGTTCCCAGGCCACTGGGATGGTGCTGAACAAAGGGAAGCAGATGGAAAAATGAGTAAAGAGTACTCAATAATCTTTTCTTTCTTTTCTTCTTTTGGTCCTGCTCGTACAGGCAGAAGCCTCAAGCTGGGGGGATGGGGTGTCAGTCCAAAAGCACGTTAGTGAGACAAGAAGGACATCCGTGCTCCCAAGCCAATGTTGCCAGATCATGGCTGGCTTAATCCCAGGATTTTTTCCCTGGGTCTATCAAGGCTACGGACATGGTCCCCTCCACTTGGTGCTCCTCAGCCAGCCACGGATGCTGGGTTTCTTGAGAAAAGGGCCATGAAGTTCTTACTCCCAAGGTGAGGGTTCGGGGGAGGGAAGGGATCCTAAGCTCAAACTGCCATGGGGAGGAGGGGGGAATGACAGAAGGAGAGGCAGTGGGGCAGGGGTGTGTGTGTGTGTGTGTGTGTGTGTGTGTGTGTACGTATGATCCAACCCATAAGGGAGACACTGACCAAAAACAGAGGAAAGACTAAACCCAAGAGAAAGAGTGGACAAGTGAAGGTTCTCTTCCAAGACTGAAAAGCAATCAGGAGGCGTTCTGGTTCTGGAAGATCGAGGCTTTCTCCTTCAGCAAGTCCAGGCAAAGGTGACAGCTCCAGCTCCCTGCAAGGAGAAAGAGGGGCCGGGGCAAAAGTCCAAGCGCGCCAGGGGTCAACCACTTTGTCAGGAACCAGTAAATAACATAAATGAGCAATTTACGAAACTTCTGGGCAGCAGCAGACCTGCTATTAACTTCTACGAAAAAGGATTTGTTCCCTTATTTATTTCGGCTTACTGTTAAACCAGTATCTTTGCCTTTCTTTCGGGAGCTTGAGGCAGGATAGACAGCACGTCTTACCCCAAATTTTCTCCCATGGCGGCAACACCATGCAAAAGGTTGGGCTGGCCCAAAATCACCCTCTGAGTCTTTCTGATCCTTGCGCAGTGCCTTAAATTTCAATTACTACAACACGCTGGCTCTTACTGGAAGGGAAGTTTATAAGTAAACGTATCACGCAAGGAAACAATTCAACAAACATGGCAAAGAATGCTGGATTGAGATGTGAACGGGGTGGGTCTCTTTCCTGTCCTTGAATGCCCGCCCTAAACTCAAGGACCAACATCCAGAAAGTCTTTGTGCCCATCTCTTTATTTACGAAACCAAATCTCCCCTCCCTTGGATGACTGGCACTACCACGCCAAACATGGATTGCACACGGAGAGGAATTTATGATGTCTGGTCTTAGGCTCGGTTGCTAAATGCCAAATAAGGAAGTCCACAACATGCTGGGAAAAGGTGTGGGGTCCAGGGTGGGCTCATCTCCAAGAGAAAGGGAGGCACAAAGTGGCGGATCGGCCAGCTATTGAGATGGCCTCTTCCCTCCTATTGTATATGGAAGGCTTATGTAAAGCAATTCCAACTGATTGCTAAACTAAAGCAACTGAGTAACTCTGGCTAAGTCGGATTCACTGCAAGAGGATACGGAGTAGGGAGCATCCAGCTTAGCAGCTGCTAAGAGCTCAGCTGCACTTGAAGGAAAAGACTCTCTCTGACATCAGTTTCTCTTCACGGTCTCCCATGGCTGCTGCAGAAAAGGCTTTCCTGTACCCCAGAACTGTTTTTCTATTCAACCCAATGGGAGCAAGAACTGCTGTGTAATTGTGCCTAGGTTAGCGTCCTCCCTCTTTCTCTGTTTATTCCCCTTTCTTTTAGGTCAGACCAGAAGCTTAGGTGGTAAATGCTGGCTAGCGGTCCAACGTAAGCTGGTTTGGGACTCTCTTGAGATGAAAAGCAAATCATTACTGCCATCGGCATGTCGAATTCTCGGGCGGAGGTCATTACATCCTCAAACTAATGTTTAACTGGAGATGTAAAGATTAATTCCAGGAACTTCTGCACAGGATAATGCATTGGCCCATATCCTGTGGGCCTATGCAATGGACCTGGCATAGTTCTGTGAGTCACCTCCTTGTTAGAAGATGAACTGCAGCAGAAATGAAGATGCACACAGAGACACTCTCTCTGCATCCCTAGTCTAACCAGTCCTGTCACAGCCTGAGCTGTGACCTCATGATTCTCTTGTTAAGTGATGTAAAAATTAACGGGCTATTTGAAATTAACACTAGCTGAAAGGATCCTCTCAAACCTCTGAGTCAGCTCCTGCTCCGGAAACAAGGAGCTTGCTGTAAGCCACCAGCTTTGCCTTCTCACGATACAGGAAGGGTTGGCAGCGTACATATATGTGTGTGCGTGTACGTATGTGCAAATCCTGAGATCTTTGCTTTCTTGCTTGAAATCTCATGAGCCTTCACGTCAGAAGGCCAAAGATCTTGGAAGACAGAAGCTATAATCAGATTTTGGACTTTGAAATACTATTTGTTGTTTAACATTAGGGTTCTGGGCATTTCATCTTAGGGAATCACAGGCACTGAGATCCTTAAGGGAACCACCCTCTAAACTGCAAGCCCAAGATATCTTCCATGTTTTGACTTTAAAAAGAACATTAGCTACAGCAATAGCTCCCAATTCAATGCTGGGCGGCCGGATGGAAGAAGATAAAAATGGAAGCAGGACAATCAACAATTGTGGGCTACACGGCCCTCCACAACTCCACAATCTCACACAGGAAGAGGGGGGAGGGACAAGAAGGGGAGCAGTATAACACTCACCTTCAGGAGGTTCTGACATAGGTGGGGTGAGGCAGTACATATGATAACCACGGTCACAATCGTCACAGAACAGCAGCTGGTCCTGGGGAAGACGGGGAGGGAGAAACAATAAAGAGGAATGCTGGTATTGCCACCTCCTTTTGGACTGGGGGAAAGGGCACCCTGAGGACTTAAGTACTTTCTCCCCCCTCTTTTTTTAATAAACCCAAAAATTAACATCGTGTGGCATACAAAACTCCCCATGCTTGGAATGCTCTCCAGAATGGCCACAACAGTGTTGGGACACAGCTGTTGAGGTTGGAAGAACCTGTTTGGAGCTCAAGGCAACTATTTTGAATTCAGGATGTTTTGCAGCTGCCCTTCCACCCCAGAAAGCTCCAAGCAGCTGACAGACTGATTATACCATGGCCAGGTTCACAGCACGCCCTTAACTCAGCCACAGATTGGCCCAACATCCTAAGCTTGATTAATTTTTAGTAGCCTAGCACAGTGCAGCACAAACCTAGTCCATTCAATTTATGTTCCAGTAATGTACAATGAAAACCCAGAAAATAAGTTCTCCATAGTGAGTTTAAGGAGGCTGTGTGAACACCCATTCCCAGCCCCTTTCGAAGCAAAGAGGTAGGCTGCAAACAAGGGAGTGAGTAATCTAGGTTTTGCAATTCAAACTCAGATCTGATCTTCTTGGTTTCTAGGAGGACCCACCTCAAGGAGCAGACTTCAGAGGGTCCAGTATCAGAGGGGGGAAGGGAGAGAGGTCAAGTCCAAAGGGGGCTGTCCCCAAAACAAAGAAGTCAGAATTAAGGAGACTCCTTCCAAACTGAACCTGAACCAGGAGGTCAGCCTTTGGAGGCAGGAAGGGGGAGGAAAAAGGTGCACTCACATCGTTCTCAGAGGTGCCACAGATGTTACAGCACTTGCATTCGATACACTGCCAGCGGTAGGTCTTCACCGCGGCCATCATGACTGGGGTGAACTGCAGGCAAGAGGGGTGCCCTGGAGAGTTGGGAGAGAGAAGCAGCATTAATACGCACAGCGTCCCTGTAGGAAGGGTGGGTGAGCAACCTAAGATGGACAGCTAAGGCAAAACAGAACCCCACCTCTGGATGGCCACCAGCCCTTTTCCCAAGGGAAGCCAAGAGGGAGAGAGGGTCCCCGCTGGCTCACGTACCTGATCGCCCGCAGTCTGAGCATGAAACCAGCTCTTCAGGTTGCCCTGTCTTCTTGTTGATCTTAGAGTCTCCCAGACAAAAGTCGCAGTAATTATTGGGCAAGGCCAGGCCATCGGGGCCTTTCTTGGCTATTGGGAAAGAAAGCAATTGTCTTTCCAAGCAGAGCAGAGGCCCACCCAAGCCACAGCCCGGCTAACCCCCAGACTCAAAACAGGGGCAAACCCTGGCAAAATAAAAAATAAAAAAACCAACCCTTTGCATAGCATAACTGAGAGATCAGACACACAACTTGGGCTCAGCATCCTGCTTCCTAACACACATACTCACTGCAAGTTAGTTCTTTTTTTAAAACCTCTGAAGGTAACCTTGGTGTGGCTCCCTCTCTTCACCACTGTTAGTTTCAAACCAATGTAGCTCAGCCCATTTCTGATTTGCAATTGTAACCCGTAAATTCTCATAGCTGGAGGTGGGCCTCAAGCACCACTGTTAGCTTTGAAAGTGGAAGTCATCTATCAGATGTAACCCAATGGCAATATTTACAGTTACAACATTTATTAACAACGCTGTTTGCCCAGCAGCGTTTTCAGCTTTTGAGACACCTGAGATATTAGAACAACTTGTTTAATCCTTTAAAACTAAAAAACCTACTATTCGTTTGTATAGATGTGTGTTATCAATAAATCAATTTGATATGCAGGTGTTAAGGGATGAGTGGAATAAAGAATCAGAGGTTTCCATATTGCCTAGACAGTGGGAGAGGGTCTTAACTTCTATAGCAAGAGTGTCAATGGACCTTAAACTACAACTTATACAACAGCTTTGAAAATGAGGGGGACTGGCCTGTGAACGAGGAGGAAGAAACACCCCCTGACCAGAGAATGTTCCCATGGCTAAGCATAATTGGGCAGCACAGCTCTAGGCTTTTTGGAGTCTGACTACTGCGGGCAATTCAAAAACAGGAGACAGAGCAAGGAGTTGGGGAGGGAGTGGATACGACGAATGCCAAGCTGGACGAAATGCAATCTGACAGCAAGACTGTTCCATAACCTTGGTTACGCAAGGAGCAGCAGGGCCGAACAAAGGCGTTCTGTCCTGGTTCACAGGGATCAGGCTGAATTCCAGCATAAGGAACAGGCACCAGGGCTTGCCTCCAACTTAAAACTTAAGTCAAGGGGGGGGATACACCTCCCAGCAGCTTACTTTTCTGCTCCTCTGATCTCTGTGAGACGGGTGTGGGGGGCTGCGAGTCTTCCTTGTCCTCCCCTTCTTCTTCCGCCAGATGACAGTGAGCATAGTGGTAGCTCAGGCCAGGACGATTCTTGTAGCGTTTCCCACAGACTGAACAGGAAAGGATTGTAAGGGACACATATTGAGAGCCACACACCGGCAGTGAAAGGGCACCCTGCCACGTTCCTTCTCAGCAAAACCCACCACTAGGCTGTTCTCCGCTAAACTCCCATGCCGCCCCAAAGCATGCAACCCGCTTCCTCAGCTGGCTATCGGGCCAAACTGTTATGGAAGGGGAAGGTGTGTCCATAGTTGCACAAAGCTGGTAGCAGGGTAACAAAAAGGTTCTCTGCTTCTCAGAGCAGAATCCGATTCCTTCAGCTGCACCCAAGTTCTGCCCGTAATCTTGTCCTAGGGGGCTCTGCGAATTCCAAGGCAGCTCACTCAATGTCACAAACAAAACAGCTACTTGCCACGATAATGGAACGACCAACACTCCGTACCCCAATCCAACATTGCAAACAATCCACAGAGGGCATGCAGACCACAAATGATGAAAATCACTCTCCTGGCCTTCATGAAACAGAAGTCCGAAATTCTACAGATGTTATCTGATGTCCAAACAGCAAAGGTTAAGGATATTCAATGGATAGTTTAGGACATTTTTCTGCCCTTCCACATGTGCAGGATAACATCTGTATGTTTTGTTTAAGTATGTATACTGAAAAAATCTAAATACATGTTTACACAAGACTCCTCCCTTATGCAATTCCTCCCCAAATCCAGCCTTTCCTTTAAGTTCTTTTAAACCCTAAAGTAAATAACCCTGTCCTAGACTTTACTGCAATTAAGCCTGTATCCCAGTTAGACTTCTCATAATTGAAAGATTTGCACAGTCTTTCAGTTTACCACTGATTCCATTTTCATCCTCTTTCCTGTGCCAAATTTTGTCTCATGTGGTACTTGGAACACGAAGCCACCCTCTGTTCTTCTGTACAGCATTGTGCTTTCTACATATTTGTGCCAGTTTAAGCCCAACCTGGCAAATAAGCTTGCAAAAGCTAAAAGCTGGTAATGTTTTTTAGCATTAGCCAGTTTTTCCATGCAAGCCAGAGAAGAAAAGTTCCCTCTTTTGCACCCAGCACAGACTTTTTAGATAATGCTTTAAAAAAGAAAATTAGCTCCATATTAAGGAAAAACATGACATGAACCAACACACTCACTCCTTGACTCTGATCATAGAAAGAAAGGGCAAGTGTTAGTGGAACAGGGAATCCTGGCATTAAAAGATTAGGAATCTGTGGCCTGCCACAGATTGCGGAATTACAGTTCCCAGCATCCACCATTAAGGCTACCCAAGGAGTGTCAGTTAGCAACATCAATAAGTCCACAGCTCCCCTATCTATGGAAAGAGGATTGGGCTACATTGCAGCTGCTCTTTTCTCTCCTTGTCAGAAATGTACCATCCTCACTGCTTACTATCCTTGTCTGCAAATTCCTGGAACATAAAAGACCTGACAAACCTGACTCCTAGATTTAAAATGTACCAGGAACATATTCAGAGGCGAGGGAGGAAAAACAAGTAATCCATCACCATCTTTGCAGCTCAGATTAATCCACCAAACAACATCCCCCAAATCTGGAAACAGCTCAGACCGGAAACAAGAAAACAGACCATATTTAGAAGGAAACAGTAGAGCTGCTGGTGGGAGGGAAGTGATGGATAAAAAGAAACAAATCCTTTCCAAATCCTTTAAGCTATGCAGGTCTCTCACTTGTGTGTGCGCGTGCGCGTATGTGTGCGTGTGTCCAGCAACTGGAACTCTAATTTGCCAAGAGAAAAAAAAAGTCACAGCTCTCTTAAAGGTTGTATAAACACAGCTGATTAAGTAAGAACCTGAGCTAGCAGGTCCTGCCCTATGTTGCTACTATAGTCAGCAACTAAAGTGAATGTGGGAAAAGATCTGATTCAGAACATCTGCTGGAGGGAAAGGAAAACACAGCCTTCTCTACCAAGCAACAACTTCTCTTTCCACAGAAGAGGAGCAAAGGCAGAAGGGGAACTGATCCTGAAATATTGCATTCCTGTGATCAAGGCTTGTCTCTTATCATCAATATCAACCAGTTGAGTTCAGGCTCAGAAATGTATTTCCTTGTCAGGGAGAAAGTTAGCAGGACTGGTTATACTCTGACAGTCTGCCAGGGCAGAATGGAGTATCTCCATTTTTGCTGAAAGCAATGGGGGAATCTGACAGATTATCTTTGTTAAAACTACCCACACAGATTTCTCCAGGCATGGTCAAGTCTGGTGAGATCTCAGGAGCTAAGGAAGATAGCCTTTTCTGGATACCTTGAAGGGCTCAGTGTCCCTTCATGTTCCAAAGCAACCTTTCCAGATTGGTGCCCTCCAGATGTGCCCTCAGTATCTCCAGCCACCACGGCCCAATGCAGAATAAAAAGCATCCGTAGTTTTGTTAGAGATGTGAAGTTCCAGAGGAACAGGAAAAAAACCTGAAAGGGGGTCCTCTAAAACTCCTGTTTTAGGGGAACTTACTGAGGCAAAATGTACTAGACTCTATTTTATTTTCAAACTCTAGGTATCACCACTTGTGAAAGACCTTTTTTTTCCTGCTGTGCTAAAATGCTTCAACATGTGATGAACATTTTAAAGAAGGGAAGAGCCCCATCTGAAGATCTGGCCTTGGGTGGCATAAGCCATCTGTCCAGGCCAGCCTTCCCTATGGGTGCTTTCCAGATGTACTGAGCTCCAAGGCCTACCCTGGGAGCCAAGGAATATATGTTCAAACACTTCTGGAGGACACTACCTTTGGGAAGAGTGACCTAGGCTGCTGAGGAACAAAAGAACTGTCTAGCAAATAGTTCAGAGGTCACCTAATGAGGGCAATGTGAACTGAAGACTCAGACCCTGGGCTATTATTAACAGAACTTACAAAACCTGAAGACCTTTTGAACTCTGTTCCTGCGTTAACATGTCATCTCAGCTGTAGAAGGCAAAGTCCTAACGCAGGTACTCCCCCCGCCCCAGGAGGCATGGGGCCAGCAGGGAAGAGGCAAGGAGAAAAAAAAAGCTTATCTCTTAATGCCAATTAGGACCATAGGTATCTTGAACGGAATGCACAGATTCTAAAGAAAATGAAACCAGACGCAAGCCCTTGCCACATCCAACATCTGGCAGGACAGACTCGGAAATGGCATCACAGGATGCGACTGGTCTGAATGACCCTGCAGATTCGCCGCCAGCCAGTTATGCTTTACAGCAGTGTTTCTCAACCTTGGCATCTTTAAGATGGATGGACTTCAACTCCCAGGATTCCCCAGCCAGCCATCCTGGCTGAGGAATCCTGGGAGTTGAAGTCCACCCATCTTAAAGTTGTCACGGTCGAGAAACACTGCTCTACAGTATTGGGCTACACACCCACCCAATTCATTTCTTGGTTAAGAGAGTGAAGAGCTGTTGTTAAAGAAACTAGCTTCAATAAAAGGACAAACAAGCTCTTCCGTAGGGTGCTGGACTACAGATCTCATCACCCTTAAACATCAGCCATGCTGGCTGTGGCTGATGGGAATTAGAATCCAGCAAGATGTGGGTGGCAGAGTGGCCACTTCTGTTGGATTTTTCTTGGGAAGGCCAGGTTCAAGGCCCCCACTTGACCACAGAACTGCTGGGATGAGTCTGGGCCAGTTACCCTCACTTAAGCCAGTCTACCTTATAAGATAGTTATAAGTTGTTGGGAGAGGGATAAAGTCGGGAAACCCTCTCCTGTATGCAATCTGAGCTCTCAGAAAAAAAGGGAAGAGATAAATGCATTTTTTTTAAAGTGAAAA